AAAGATGAAGCTCTTGAAAAAATCTTAATTTTTAAGATTGAAATAGAGAATGAAACTGGCAAGAAAATTAAAAGGTTAAGATCTGATAGGGGAGGAGAATATACTTCTAATTTAATTGTACTAGAATGCCAAAAATATGGTATAGTACACCTCCTTATTCACCACAATCAAATGGAGTAGCTGAACGGAAAAATAGAACTTTTAAAGATATGATTAACAGTTTATTAGAGAATTCTGGATTACCTAAGTTTATGTGGGGGGAAGCCTAGAATACTGCATGCCATATTCTGAATAGAATTCCCATGAAACATAAAGATAAGTGTCCATCTGAACTCTTGACGGACAGAAAACCAAGTTTGAAATATTTAAGTGTGGGGCTGTATTGCAAAAGATTTAGTCCCTGAACACAAAAGAAAGAAATTTGGGCCTCAAACTATTGATGCTATTTTTATTGGTTATGTTGAACATTCTTATGCATTGAGATATTTGGTTATTAAATCTGAAATTTCTGGCATAGATGTCAATACTATTGTAGAACTTCGTGATGCTACTTTCTTTGAGGATGTTTTTCCAATGAAAACGGGTGTGCCCCAAAATACTTCTTTTAAAAATCAAGAAACCACATTTAATTCAATTCCTGATCAAGTGGAAAAGATGACAAATGTAGGGGTAGAATCTAGTAATTCTAGTCATATTGATTTTGAATCAAATGATCTAGATGAGCCAAGAAGGAGCAAATGAGCTAGGATCACTAAGGATTTTGGAAGTGATTTTATCACTTACAATATTGAGGGTGATCCAATTTCCTTTAGAGATGCAATGGCCACATCTGAGGCCATTTATTGGAAGGATAATGCCATTAAAAGTGAAATGGACTCTATTGTTCAAAATGAAACATGGGAGGTCGTTGACCTTCCTCCTGGTTGTACCACTATTGGATGTAAAATGGATTTTTAAAAAGAAGTTAAAACCAGATGTAACCATTGATAAATGTAAGGCCAGATTAGTTGCTAAGGGTTATAAACAAAAAGAAGGTATTGAGTTTTTCGATACATATGCTCCTTTTTCAAGAATGACCACGATAAGAATGCTCATAGCATTGACCTCTGTATATGGTCTTAAAATTCATCAAATGGATGTTAAGACAGCTTTTCTTCATGGTGACCTTGAAGAAGAAATTTATATGGATCAGCCTGAGGAATTTGTGGCAAAAGGCAATGAGAGAAAAGTTTGTAAATTAGTTAACTCCTTATACGGACTTAAGCAAGCCTCTAAGCAATGGAACGAAAAAATTGATAAAATAATTTTTCGTTTGGATTTACTCTTATAGTTGCTGATCAAAGTGTTTATTATAAATGTAAAGGTGATATAAGCATTATTTTATGCCTATATATTGATGATATATTATTTGGCACTAATGATAATATTATTTTTGAGACTAAGTCATTTTTGAAAACTAAGTTTGAAATGAAGTAATTCTTGGGCTAAAGTTGACTAGATCAACTGAAGACATTTCTATTTCTCAGCCACATCATATTGAAAAATTAATTGAGAAATTTGGATTTAAAAATAGTAGAATTGCTAAGGCACCCTATGATGCTTCAGTAGCTTTGTATAAAAATGAAAGTGGTGTTCCTGTGTCTCAATTACGATATTCTCAGATGATTGGTAGCTTGGGTTACTTAGCTAACTGTACTAGACCTGATATTGCATTTTCATTGTCTAAACTTAGTCGGTGCACTTGTTGTCCAAACAGAACTCATTGGGAGGCCTTAAATAGACTATTTAGATACTTGAAAGGAACTATTTCCTTGTGTTTTCATTATGGTAAATATCCTCCCGTTCTTGAAGGATATAGTGATGCGAGCTGGATAGCTAAGAACTCTGGGAGTTATGGGTGTACTGGTTACACGTTTACATTTGGTGGTGGGGCTGTTGCCTGGAAGTCCACTAAACAAACCGTACTTTCTCGGTCTACTTTTGAGGCTAAATTATGTGCATTGGATACTACAGGAATTATGGCTGAATGGTTTATGTGACTAATGTCCGAGTTACCTATATTCAGCAAGCCAATTCCACCTATTTGTTTGCATTGTGATAGTATGAGTACAATTGCAAAAATTAGGAGTACCAAGTATAATCAAAAGACTAGGAGACACATTCAAGTTAGATTAAAAACTATAAGGAAATTTGTGTCTCAAGGAGTGTTTGCTGTTGGTTTTGTCGGATCTAAAGATAATACAACAGACTCTTTAACAAAAGGACTTGATTTAAATCAAGTGATAAAATCAAGGTTAGGAATGGGACTGAAAACCCAATAATTATTCATCTACGGTGGCAACCCAACCTATCTGAGTGGAGATCCCATAAAGTAGGTTCAATGTGGTATAAACAAACTGTAGAGTGAATTGTGCATCTCTTTAAAAATAATTTTATGAGTTCTATTCTTTGATAAGCCTTAGAGATGCAGAAGTTGCCAAGTTAGTAAGAGTTTAAGACTCTGAATGGGATCTAGCTTAATTACAGAGTGTTAGCAATGCACTCTTGGAGATGCCCAACTATGAGAATGTTATTGTGTGACCGCAATAAGAGAATAAGGGTTAATTCTCGATTACATTCTTGAGACAGGATCAGGATGCATGGCCGTAAAGTGTCATCCCTATAGATCGTTGCCATTGCCGCTAGTGTGTTGCTTTTATCCCACACCAACACAATCAAGGTTCGAGTTCAAGAACTCTTTTCACTCAGTTCCTGTGGGGGTTAGGGGTAAGAGCTTAGAATTTAGTTCAAACCGGAAGGTACCATATTTGAAAGCACACTATGTCTTAGAGTGAGTCTACAACTATGGATTTGTGGGGGATTGTTGGAAATATGATAATATAAATATTATTTTCAGGGTCACATTATTGTGTCCTAAGATATAGTTGTATTAAATATGGAGAGGAGGCTGATAATACATCAAAGAATAACTTACATATTTGGATTTAAAGTAAGAATCCATAGTTGTAAAGATTGTAAAGTAATGTATTAAAACAAAGAATTTATTTGTTCCATATTAGAGGCTCAATCGTTTCGTATGATTATTTATAATCATTATATGATAATGAACATTGTTCAAGTATCATATGAGGTGACATGACATTTTAATTATGACTTGTAAGTGCGCCCGATCAGACATATTATAAGTGATGAAATTGATGTCTCAAGTTTAGAGACTTTCTAATTGTTTGGACAAAAAAATCTAATTATGGTTTATTAGAAGTAAACTGGTTTTTATTTTTAATAAAAACGAGCCGTCCATGCGGACAATGTAAATGGAATAGTTGATTGCATTATGAATTTGAATTCAAATTCAAATAATTATCCTTAATGCTATTGATGGGATCCTTAATGTGGATCAGTTTTATTTTGTCATTCGACTCTCAAGAGTTATTGCATTTGATTTCTGTTTCAAAATCATTCTCCACGTTGCTTCTTTATTATTATCATTAATTGTATAAGGAGGCTACTGCGTGTTTTTTTTTAATAGTCCTTGTTACGTAAAAGCTAATAGTATAAGGAGAACCACTCCTTTTTCTCTTTTAACGCACAAAACAAAACAAAGGAGAAATACACTCGTTTGCAACTTTGCTTTCAGCAACAAGAATTATCATATTTTATATCTTCTACGAGAGCAAAGGGATCTTTTCTTTTTGAGTTTCTCTATTACTCGGCAAATTTGGCAACGATCAAAGGTTTCAGTCAAGGTAGCTACAAGTCTGGAACGTGGTAGGATTATCCTGGGAGCGAGCTAGCCAGACCCGCCCGAATAGCTATCGGACGATCCTGCGATAAGTTTTCCTTATCTTTTCTCTTTATGTATTTTAATTTATTCTAATTATTATTATTTTTATTTGTTCTTGCATTTGGTGGGTTGTCTGGTGATTTGTTTAAACTCGGGATAACCAAGCATTCCAGCCCAGCTGGTTGTGAGGTTACCGTGCCTAGTGGGAGGTCTCGAGTTCGAAACCCACTAGACACACATAAGGGTTTGAAACTCAATGGAGTGAGTTTCAGCCTTGATTACTCCAGGACCCCAGCCCCCTCTCCCAGACCCCCTGGAGTAAAAAAAAGTTTAAACTCGAGATTTTTATCTGGTTAACTTTGCATTTTATTATCATTTTTCTAACACCAGTTTGGTGTTTTCTTCACCAAATTCCTGCTCATAAAACTTCTTCCAAAGTTTATCTGTCACAGAGCTAATATCTCTCCCCTGGCAAAATCAAAAGTAGATTTTAAAGACCCTAGACCAACCTAGTTTAAGACTTCCCAAAAAGGAGATTGCAAAAATGAACAATTCCTTACTTCAATGCATGCCAACTCATCAATAGTACATATAGCAAACTGAATGCACAAATCCACAAGTGAAGGAACATTATGATTCACTCTTGTGCTTCCCATTGTGTGCTCCTATCTGTTTTGCCTGCTAATACCTGCAATCACCAGCTATTCAAAACCAGAATAAGGAAGAGCCTAAATTGCTACCAACTAAAACATGCTTTGTAAGTATCATAACACATAAAAACAACAATCCTTTTAGTTTGGATTTCTGAAAAGTGAAAAGTCCTATGCACTCACCTAAACCTCAAGGTGTTGATTTAAAATTGTATCAGGAACTCTTGTTGTAAATCTTCTTAATTTGTACACAATTTGTGTATTTTATAATAATGAGAGTCTAGTTTGATTTGATCTATTTAAACCTAATTTGTTTTGATTTGGTTTAATCTGTTTAATTTAATCTCGGACAGAAAACAATCCAAAATGCAAATTTATAAAAAAACATACGTAAGCCAAAATGTTCTGATTTTGTTCTGAGACGGTACAATTTTATAAATTTGTGAACTTTTTAACATAACGTGTATGTTGGGCCGATGGGTCGAGTTCTGGAATAAGAAGAGACTCTGGTCCAACAACCCATAGACACAATTTCAGCAGTATAAGTAAGGCCTTGTGGACAAGAAGGTTGAGCGCATATTATAGCTATAATAACACAAACCCTAGCGGAAGAGGCAGAATAGCGCCGGAGCCGAGTCGGTGCAGTTCATCCCGTTATACAAAGAAATCGCGGTGCGGTTGGCGGAGAAGAAGAAAGTTCTTCAGTCGGGTCTTCTCCTGCGATTCCTCACCACGTTTCTTTGTATAATGAGATAGTCTGGACCGTGTTTTCCCCCCGAACACCGACTTCACCGTACGGTGAAAACCAACCAGAGTGGTGCTTGCTTGCACGCGGCGGCCGTCTTCTGTGAAAGCCATTCTTCTCTTCTGTCATGGCCTCCTCAGTTCAGTACCTAAGTTTAAATTTAATTTTCTTTGATCGCCTTGGCACTATGCTAGTTTGTGTGAAAAGAATGATCATTCAAATGGTTGTCGTTTTTGTCTGTAGAGCTTTATAGATTACTTTCTAAATTGCACCTTAGGTTCGTTTTCTCTGCTTCAAGTGTTTGTTCCTGAAGTATTTTCAACTTGTTATACAATGTATTTTTTTTAGAAAGGAAGTGGCTGTTTACGTAGAACATCATTTCATGTAAAAAAAAATCTTTGGGCACAGAATTCACACTTTGTGTGTTTTCTTAATGGCTGGCCATAAATAAACGGGTGTGGCAGAATCTTTTTCCTAATTCTAAATCTATATTAGGGAGTGGTAAAGGCTGCTGTTTGGCATGGCAGCAGTTTAAAAAACGGGGGATCATTGTGGAAAATATGCAGCTGGTTTGGTCTGGGTGGAGAATGCTGGGGGTTGGGCTGGGTTCTTCGTGATTAGGCTTGTAGTTTCATAGCTGGATGATCAACCAAGCTACTAGGAAAATGTACTCTCCGAGAAGCTGAGATTTTGGGGATTTGAGAAGCATTATGGTGGGCTTTGAGTTATGGTTGGGATTTCATTGATGTTTAGTCTGATTCTCTTCATGCAATTTCTGAGATAAGGGACGGAGGTTCATTGAATGCTTTTGGAATGATCACGGAGGATATTAGAATCATTCAAGCAAGTTTTTTGGAATTATCTGAGTTTATGTTTTTATCAAAAGCAAAAGCAGCGGCTTCATTGCATGATCAGTCTTATTGGTTTTGAGCCCCTCCTGATTGTATTGTTGGTTATCTTGATCATAACATGATGAATATCAATTAAGTTTTCCCTTTTATAAAAAAACAAGACACACTATGCACAACAGCACAAGGAAGTACTTTCTTTAACAAGCAAGGAAATAACCTATTTCTCAAAAGTGGCACCTGCTATGATAATATCAAAAGGCATATGTTTTCCTTTCCATCCAAGTATGCTTATGAAATCTTCATATGCTTTGCTTGACTGTTGACGGTCAGTTTTTTTAACCAACCATTCTAGCTCATTGGGTGGAAGGTTACGTGTCCTAATGGAGGTCTTGGGTTTGAATCCGGCTAGACACATTTAGGGGTCTCGGAGTTGCTTGGTTGAGAAGGGAGAGGATGGTAATGAAAGTAGCGGGTTCATGTGGTGCGAGGACCCTGAAAGGTGATGAAAGTCTGCTGGATTCGTCCTTTGGAGTCAATACTGACGAGGTTGATTGTGATCAGATCTGGATTAATTGTCTAGAGGCTTTGGAGGGTAGTTCATAGACTTCATGATTATGAGAGCGTAAGCTCCGACACCTGGATTATCAAAAAAAAATTGAAGGTCAGTTTTTTGTAAAGCTTAGCCTGTTTTTAAATTGTTGTTCAGGCTTTCGATATTGACCATAAAGATTTTTCAAATGAATCCAATTGATTTTCACTGCATAGAAACATTTGGATCTGCTTTGTCACAAGATATCCCTTTAAATGTTGTTAGGACTTGTTCACGGTTGCAAAACTCTCCCCCTCCCAGCATCGTCTAATTGAGGATGTTTTTTTTTCAGTCCCAGAACATACTGAATATGATGTAATAGACTGAGTATTCCGGAGTATTTAAAAATTTGTTGACAGTGAAACTGTAGGCTTGTAAGAGATTGTTGACCAAGGTAATGGAATGACTAACGATATTGAAAATCTACTAAAAAACCGGCCTTGCCTGTCCCATGCCCTGTTGGAATATAACTTGTAACTGGCAGCTATGTAACTTACATTATATCTCCTATGTCCCTGAAGATCCACTTGTAAGTATGGCATACACTATAAATTGTAACTTGTACCTAATTACCTATGATGCTGTAACATGTAAACCCCTTGTTTTTAATTTGCACATCACAGTCTTTAACTGAGCTTATTATGCTGCAACGTATTTAATGACTTCATTGTTGGCCACTTGAGGTTTGACAGGCACGTATGTTGGCCACTTACAGTGTTCCTCTTGACCAGGACCTGCTAGCCGTGGGCTCTGTCTGACTTTGGATCAATTTTTGTGGTTGAATTAAATATTAGAAATTACAAAAGAATCATATAAAAAATAAATTGGTTGAGTTTGAACTGACATTTTATTCCCTCAACAACAAAACTGCAACACAAGTTTTTTTTCATAGCCTCATAATACAAGAACCATTCCCACCATCAAGCTACTTGTTACTATACAATCAATTACCACATTGGTCTTCGGAATGCTCAGCAAGTACATATGTAAACATCATTTCATATACAATAGTCTGCCATAAGAGACAGTCACAATGCCAAATCATAATCATGCTCAACAAGCAATAGACTGAACCATCTCGGTTCCAAACAGAAAAAAGGTAGTAAAATAGGGTCACGTGGCATGCATTTTCTGAAACACCGGGACTGGATGCCTAACTAAGTGCTAGCTGGATGTAGTTAGCATTAGGAGTCTCCTGTAATGATAAATTAATTTTGAACACTCAACTTTGATGAGTTTGATCCCAAGATCTGCCAGTGAGTATACAGGAAGTCAACCACCCATCGTAGGAAAGAAACCGAAACATGTAAATATAAATGTCCTCTTTAGAATTGATTTAACTTGCAAAGTCAAGTTGCAAAAGTGTACATACGACTTCAGGGGTCTATTAAAGTTAGTAGCATAGGTTTTAAGAAGTCAATGTGCGACATTTTTAAGTTAAGAAAAACAAAAACAAAAAGGGCTAAATACCAATTGCATCCGTTATCTATTAAATGAGTTTGGAAAGAATGAAAGGAGTTTCCTTAGCAATGGAAATGAGGATATTCTATGGAGCACTAATATTGCCATTCTTTTGCTCTTTGGTTTCCCCAGATGGTCAAGGTATGCTCTGGTTCCAAGTGAATAAATAATTGAGAGATTTCCTGAGTAAAACATAGCTGCCTTCAGATGAAATGTGTTTTTTTTGTTTTACTATATAGTACAATTTCTGGAATTATTAACTCTCTCTTTCTCTGAACGGCATTGCATTTAGTTTGCAAATCGCAATATATCAGTTTTAGGATATTTAGGATAGGATTTATCTTCAAAATTCTTTTGAATCTTCTTTCTATTAGGAGAAGCACTGACTGCATTGAAGGAATCATTGAAGGCATCAAGTAGTCAGCTTAGTGATTGGTATACAAATTTAGGTAATCCATGCACATGGTCAAAAATTAAATGTGATGCTAGTAACAATGTCATCAGTGTGTACGTAAGCTCTTCCTTGATGTTCTTGAATATCATTTATGATTTATGTGGGCAAATTAAACCTGATATACTCACAATTTTTTCACTTTGGTGGTTTGTAGGTCATTAGCTGATATGGGATTATCCGGCACTTTGTCTCCCAAAATAGGAGCTTTGAAGAAGCTAACCATATTGTACGATCTCGAAACCCAGAGTTTTACATATATTCCTTCGTAGTAAATGTTGATTGCTTTGTTCAATGCTCGACTTGCCTCGTACCACTTGTTTAATCGCTCAAAAAGAAATTTATTGATGGCATTTTTGGTTAGAGAGACCAGCTAGTAAAGTGAAAATGATAAGTTAATATTACCTTGAGGCAAACTACGTAACAAATTTTTATTGATATTTTAGTATGATTTGGCCCAAGAATTGAATGCCATGCACCAACCCAATACTGAAATCTATCCGGAATGATATAGTTACTTATAATGTAGATCATTGCAAGGAAATAAGATAACTGGTAGGATTCTTGAAGAACATGGAAATCTGTCAAGTTTGAGAATGTTGGACCTGACAAACAACCAATTGTCCGGAGAAATACCACCTTCGCTTGGAAACCTCAAGATGCTCCAGTCCTTGTAAGTTTTCGCCCACATTCTTGTTGTTTGTTAGATAAGAACTTAGTTGTATTTTCACAATGCATACAAACAGGTACTTGAATCAGAATAATCTCACCGGGACAATCCCTCAATCTTTTTCAACCCTTCCAAGCTTAACTAACTTGTGAGTCATCACTCATGAACCTCATCTTGTTGGAAATGCCCTTTCCATGTAAATTATTTGCTGCACTTATTATTTTTATTATATGTGACTTGGGTGCTACTTTATATACTTGTGAACCTACTATATTAGGTGGCTAGGGGAATGCCATTCCTAACTTCACTTTATGGAGATGTTCTTAATTGCAGGCACCTCGATTCCAATAGTCTTACTGGTCAAATTCCTAAAAGTTTATTTGAAGTCTCCCAATACAAGTAGACCAACCCCTTGCTTTCTAGAATAGTTTAATTCATACTAGGTATATGATTGTCGACATGTTTATATGACAACCTATTTGTTCCAGTTTTACAGGTAACCATTTGAACTGTGGCTTCAATTTTAGCCAGCGTTGTGAATCTAGAAACGGTAAATAAAATGTCAATGCTTTTATTTCTGAACTAAGGTATTAAAACTTTGGTTCCACCAAAAATTTCAACTTGATAAGAGAAGTATTTGAAGGTCACAGTTTGTATGTGTGATGATAACATAGATTTGAGTTTTAAATGTGAGCCTATGTCTTTATATTTGACCCGTGTGGGACGTCTTAACATAACAATCTTAACTTTTTACACAGTACATAAGATTCTTATAAAAGAAACCAGGAAAGTATTATAAAGTAGTTGTACCTATGTGCTTATTTAGTTGTAAATATGAACTCTTTGTAAAAATACTCGTAGTGTGTACAATGTACGGTTCTCATTCATTTTCATATGTTGTGTCTGGCCTTTCCGTGACTAGTTAGCCTTCTGTTGTGGGCAGTTCCCCCAAGTAAATCAAAGACTGGGGTTGTTGTTGCTATTGTTGTTGGACTTATTGTTCTTGCGGGAGGCTTACTACTATTTTGTATGCGGGGCCGGCTTACGGGCTACAAGCAGGATAACTTTGAAGATGTTGCAGGTTGGTATCAACTGTACATACTTTTTTGAGTATGGTCAATATGAGTAACATAGTTGCTTTCTTATTCATATCTTTCTATTCTTTCCTTTTGTGGAAAGTTGATATATATGCTGCACTATAAGCATTAATGTTCGTCACATATATTTTACTCCATCTCATTATCAATAGATAAATGGCCAGATGGCCCTTGTTATATTCAGGAGAAGTTGACCGAAATATTGAATTCAATCAGTTAAGAAGGTTTTTGTGGACAGAGTTGCAAATGTTAAGGCTGCAAATGTATTATTAGATGAATATTTTGAAGCTGTCGTGGGTGATTTTGGGTTGGCAAAAGTGGTAGATGTTGGAAAGACCAATGTGACCACTAGAGTTTGTGGTACGATGGGACACATTGCTCCTGAGTACTTGCATACTGGGAAATCATCAGAGAAAACTGACGTTTTTGGCTATGGAGTCATGCTTCTTGAGCTTGTTACAGGTCAACGTGTGGCTGACTTCTCTCGCCATGATGAAGAAGATGATGTGTTATTTCTTGATCATGTAAGTTTGGCCTTTTCTATTCATGTCTCCATTTTAATGCAAAAATAGTACAGAACCATGGAAGCATGTCGATAGGATTATAATGGACCGGCCTTATTAACGTTTTCTAAAATGGGATGTTCTTTTTTCATGCTAATCCTGAACCAATCTCAAAATCTCAAATGGAATGGAATCAATACACTTTTTATATACGGATTATCCTAAGCCAGACCATATGTTTTTGTATCAATCTTCTATTTTTAGTTATTCTTTAATTTATAATTTTTTTACCGTGTATTAATCTTATCTAGCTAGCTACTAGACATATGAAAGAAATTAAGTGGCCATAGTGCACATCCTACATATTACTTAAAGCATCCCCAATGCTACAATACTCACGGAACACATGTTGCATGAGAGAGATAGACACACAAATATTTATAAACAAAATATTTCTCCTTATTTGAACGGTTTTATATGTTTTTGGTAAGTTTTTTTCCACAGTGTCATGAAGAATGTCTAGATGTAGACATTGTGGTTGGCATTATTACCAAAATTATATAAAATCGTGGAAAGAAGGAGAGAGAAATGTCAATAATTTATTTTTATGTGTCTATCTCTCTCATGCCACATGTGCATCACAATTTCGAGCTTAGTTTACTAGTTTGTGTATTTTAGATGGTAAACTTACTAATACAATTAGTAGTTTTATATCTTAAGTATCCATTTGAGAGTCAGACTTCAAATAATTATTCTTTATATATCTTGTTTTCATTATACTTTGTCTATATATGTTGATGTTTTTTAAAATCCATCAAGAAAAAGTCTCTTGATGGTTGCAATTTTTGAAGTGGTCTAATAGCCATAATAGAAGTTGGTTTCACCAAATTCCTATCATGAAAGGAATATATAAATACTACTTTAAGTGTTATTACTATTTATTATATTTTGTTTTTAATACACATCTCCTATAGCAACAATTGATCATCATCATTCATCATATTACTGCAGTGCCGCAAAGGCTCCCACCTTAGGTGGGGTAAGGGGGTCAGATGTACACAGTCTTACCCTATACAGATTGATAAAATACATAAATTTTTCATTTGAAGGTGAAGAATTTGCAAAGAGAAAATAGGTTACATGCTATTGTAGATGGCAACCTGAACAACAGCTACGACATAGAGGAATTAGAGATGATTATTCAGATTGCATTGCTATGCACGCAAGCTTCGCCTGAAGAAAGACCTGCAATGTCAGTAGTTGTAAGAATGTTAGAAGGAGATGGGCTTGCGGAGAGGTGGAGAGAATGGCAACATATTGAAGTGAACCGTAAGCAAGAATATGACTGGCTGGACAGACGAATCGAATGGAGTGAAGATGGCAAAAGAAGATGCACTTCCTCCTCACCACTTTGAAGGTTGTGTATGTGTTGAGCACTCCGATACCGGAAGTGATGGACGACGAAAACTTGGAACAAATTAGGAGGCGTAACAAGTGGGAGAACGATGACTACATATGTAGAGGCCGCATTCTTAACGGTATGTCCGATGCATTATTTGATATTTACCAAAACATTGAGAGTGCGAAGGAATTGTGGAATTCTCTTGAGTCAAAATACATCACCGAGGATGCTTCTAGTAAGAAATTCTTGGTGAGTGATTTTAATAATTATAAAATGGTTGAAACAAGGCCGATTATGGAACAATACAATGAACTCCTTCGTGTTCTTGGTCAATTTAAACTCCACAAGATAAGTATTGATGAATCCTAAGCCGTGTCGAGTATAATTGACAAACTTCCACCCTCTTGGACGGATTTTAAACGTAATTTAAAACATCAAGATGAGGAATTATCATTGGTTCAACTTGGGAGTCACTTGCACATTGAGGAGTATCTTCGTGCGCAAGAGAATGACCAAATTATGGATGATGTTGAATCTAGATTGGCTCATGTTTACTTGGTTGAGGATAATAAATCTAACCCGAAAGATAAGGGGAAACGCAAAAAGCGCAAGTATGAAGACCATGACAAACCCAACAAGAAACCGAAAGGTTTGGTTTGTTGGAGGTGTCAAAAGGTTGGACATGTCAAGTGTGATTGCCGTGTGAAACTAAACAAGAATGGCGCTGGAAGGAGTGGCAGTGGACTGGAACGGTCTAAGGACCTGGTTCCACGGAAAGGAGGTCAGTTCCTGACTAACTTTGATAATTCTGCCCAGAATTATGTATCACTCATTCCAGAATCTTTTTATGTACAGGATGATGACTGGGCATGGTGGATTGACTCGAGGGCTACGAGCCATGTGTGTAAGGATAAAGGATGGTTTGAAGACCTAGAACCAGTGGAGGTCGGTTCCTTCTTACGCATGGGAGACGAGTCAATGGTGCCTATCTTGGGAAAGGGTGTAGTTGTTTTAGAATTTACTTCTGGAAAAACAATTACGTTGTTTGATGTTTTGTATGTACCGAAGGTTCGAAAGAATCTTGTTTCGGGAAGTATGTTGAATAATTTAGGGTTCAAACAAGTGATTGAATCCGATAAATATATTTTGTCCAAGGGTGGTGTGTTTGTTGGTTTTGGATATTTATCAAATCGCATGTTTCGTTTGAATGTTGTGAAAAAATTAATTTCTAGTGATACTTCAGTTTTTGTGGCATATTCAATGAATGATTGTATGATTTGGCATGCTGATAAGTCCATTTTTGTACTTATTTTTCTTATCAAATTTAAGTCATTTTGGATTGAAAAATAGAAAAACAAGGCATGTTTTATATATTTCGGTTCAAGTTTCGTGAAATCAGGTAAAAATCACGTCCATGATATGTTTGACGAAATTTCGGGTCAATTAAGCATACAATGAGTCAATTTGAGTGAAAAATGATATCATACCGAAAGAAGGAAGCAGAATTTCAAAGTGGTCCAGAAGGGAAAGTTGAAGAGCACAAAATACAGAACAAGACAGACAAAAAAATCTAATAGGCGCCCAAATTGGCCGCCTTCCAGGCCGCCTACGCTATTTTTGGAAAGTCAACATTTTTGGAATTTTGACTGGACCGGAGAAGACCGAAGGTTGCCGACACTGGACGGAAGGCGGCCGCCTTCGATGACCGCCTGCGGCACAAGGCGACAAACCAACCACCGGCCGGTGGGATTTGACGGCAGGCGGCCAGACAGGAACGGCAGGCGGCCGCCTGCTGGACCGCCTGCGACGGATGAAGAGACCGGCGCACGTTCGGCTGCCGGTGATGGGACGGAAGGCGGCCGGAGCAAGGTGGCAGGCGGCCACCTGGTTGGCCGCCTACGGTATTTTTGCTGCTATAAATAGTCCGATTTTTCCTCATCCCAAACACACCATTCTTAGCCCGAAACTATTTCAAAAAGGTATGTTTCTTCCTCTTCAAAGCTCGGATTTCCACCATTGTTGCACCTTCAACTTCAATCTTTCATATCTTTTTCATTTTAGCTCCAATTTGTAAGTTCTTTATATGAAAATTCATCCTCTCTGCGTGTAGATTCTGAATATATTGTTTTTATTTCCCAAATATTTGTGAAATATTCTCTGAATTAATTTTAATAGTTTCGTATTTTCCATTTTAATTCAAGAAAATTAGATCTTGTTGTTATATTAATCTCCTACTTAGACAACCTCAATACCTAGTATAAATAATGTTTATTTGTGAAAGAAACGAATGCTTAGATGTTGGGAGTATTCACTTTAATATTTTCTTGTGTTGTTATTATTTATGATCATGTCTTATTTTATATGTAAAATGTTAAAATTAGTAATGAGTTGTTGTAGTTAATTTACTCTTGGGCATGAATTGAATTAAAGGAATATGGATTGACTTGTTAGCAAAAAATTAGGGGTTAAAATTAATTAATTGGACTAGTTATTCAAAATTGATGAAATAGTAATTAATAATTGTTAGCCGTTCTCATTAATTAAATTTTGGAAAATTATTTCTAACTTATCTATGGGATTAGAAAATAATTTGAGCCAACCATATTTAAGCACGTTAATAAGGCCTAGAAATAGGAAATTTTAATGAAATGGATTTACATCTTATCTATGAGAATTAAATTTAAATTGCTTAATTAATGAGTCTAATTAGTTAATGAATTTGGCTATTTTTATTGAACAAAATATTGGAGAATTATTTCTGTCTTGTCTACGAGATTAGAATTTAATTCAAGCCAACCATTTTTGAATACATTGATGAAACCTAGAAAAAGGATAAATTAATGAAAGTAATTTCTATTCTTGTGTATGAGAAAAGAAATTAGTAGTCCAATTTTTGTTTTAATTCCCCTAATTACTAGGTCCAAGAATATATCCATTTCTAATTATTCAATTCATTGTCCTTCTTTGATCAATCCATTTAGAGTTTAATATTTTTCATTTAGTTTATTTTTAATCCATCGTTAGTATTTGCATAATTTAAATTACTTTCTTTTTAAAAAAAACTAGTTTAGAAAACCAATCAAAAGTTTCAATTTGGAAAGCTTCTAATAATTTGCGATAACCTGTGACTGGGCTTAAAATCAAGAAACTCCTCCGCCATTCCTCAAGAGACACGATACTCTGGGAAAAACCGAAAGGTTAGACTCCGTTTTACTACAACGCCGCGAAAGCGGTTATCAAATGGCGTCGTTTCCGGGGAATGGCACAGTGAAATCTTGATTTTGATATTAGCATGGGCGAATTCAAGTTAGGGAGACTTTGTTTTTCTCTTTTGTTTTGTTCTCACGTGTTTGCTTGATGTTTCCTCATGGATTGCTCAAATGAACACTTTTATTCTCAACCACCATATCACTATCCATACCATGAACAACAAAGTTTTCAAAATAATCAAAATGAAGGATACTATGAGCAAGGTTATGGGGATAACAATCAATGTGCGAAAATCCACCTTTAGGGTATGAAGATTACCGATTTCAAGATAATTATTTCCACCAAGGGCAAAACTTTGAAGGCTATAATGATTTTTCCTATCTAGGTAATTATCATGATGATTTTAATCATAATGAAAATTACCACAAAAGGCTAGAAAACCATTACATTAGCACAAACGAGTATTCCTACGGGAATGAATCTGAAATTTCACCTTATCCTCAACACGAGCTCGAAAACTTAAAATCATCCTTACTCGATCTTGTGGAAGACTTAAAACAGACAAGGATTGAACTAGCATCTCGTGACGAGAGCCTCAATAAATTGTTTGAACAAATCATATATGACAATGAACACAAAGTTCAAGAGGAGACATACGAGGAAGGTGCTAAATCTGAGGAGGAGGCTGTGGAAACTATGGGCGAGATGGTTGAAACTCTTTTCAACCCTATTTCTTTTGAGTCTCTCATTGCTACTGAGCTAGAGCCTGTCCTTGTAGAAATTAGTCCTGAAGAGCCCAATCTAAAAGTGCCCACTGAAGTTGATGAAGAGACCATAGACGAGGAAATACTTTGTGACACCGACCCTACCCTACCATCTATGGATGACCTCTCACTTAAAGAGTCCTTGAAAGATAGCCTTGATGAATATGTTGATCCTACACGAGCCCAAGTGCTTGATCAAGTAGTTGATGAAACATGTGATGTTGAGAAAACATTGTCCGATGACGCCTTCTTTGACTCTATACTCAATGATGACAAACGTAGTTGTGCTAGGCAAGGATCTGTTTACCTAGATGATATTTGCGGGGTTAGTGAGCTAGGAAGTTGGGATGCATTCTTAGAGAATGACACAGAGTCTAAACTTTGTGATTTTCATGTTGAAGGCATAAATGAAGAAGAGAAAACCCATCAAGAGGAGTATGAAATCTCTAATCAGGCTACTTTTACCTTTATGGCTCCATTTGAGCGGTTGGAGAAACCAGAGGCACCTGATCCTGAAATACTTGTTGATTCTACTAATGAGATTGATGCATGATATGTGCTAATTCCTTGTTCGAACGACGTGTTCTTTGAAGATTATGTCACATTTTGGTGGTCACGAGAGATCAAAGGTATACGCCATCTGACGGCATACCTGGAGGATAAGGTGGATGCACTAATGATGAGTGCTCCACGACTGACTTGCATTACAGAAAGTTCTCTCTCAAACGTCAAGCTAGTGACGTTAAAGAAGCGCTTCTTGGGAGGCAACCCATATTTTTCATAACTTTGTTTGTTTGTTTTGTGTGATTGCAGGTGGTGCTTCTGTTGGGAATATTTTATGGTGTTCAATCTAGTTAGTTATCTTTGTATTTGTGTAGTTATTAATTAATCGTGTAATACGGGCCACAAATGTGTATCAGCCCGTGGGCTTCCTTGTAACCCGTAAGTTAGCCAACTTCTCCTATAAAAGGAGGCTAACTTACGGGAACCCTAACGATCGATAGAGGCTTAGAGCAGAGGCGTAAAGATAGAGAGTAGGGTTGCCGCTGCTCTCCTTCTCCAGGGAGAGCAGCGGCCAGTTTACACGGTATACCAGATTCGTATAATATCTACATATCTTTCTATCTGCTTCTTCTATAACTGCTATGGTTGAATGATTGTATGTATTCTGGGATTATCAGCTTCAATAAATAAATCGTGAGTTGAACGCTTTGACCCAATTTCAAAAAAAAAAACTGATCATGGATGATATTTTTAAAACAATTTTATTCCTATTTTCATTATTCCTCTTCACAATTTTTTTTTCAAAACTCAAGTGTGAGGAAAGAACTAAAAAATGTGCCTTTATTTCTAAACTTTGTGCATTAAAATGAGACCTCGAGGTCGAGGTCCAGCTCAAGTGTGAAGAGGTTGCGTTTTACACTCAAAAGTTAAAACCTTGTTTTAGAACAATCTTTTTACTATTTTTGATATGAAACATTAATTTCTCAATGGCATCCCTCCTTGATGTATGAGTAGTTGACCGGGGGAAAACCACGTAGGACTTAGAAAATATTCTAAGTGTAGATTTTCCCTTGGGAGCCTTCGGGTGATAGGTGCCCTCTGACTCCACATCACTTTGCGAGATGCCCGGGGGCTGCTCATTTAGGACATAATATTTTTTTTAAGTGTTGTTGTATTGCATGGCCTTCGGCTACCATATTCCCCTGGCTGTAATATTGGATGGGTCGGGGGCCCAATCTTTAGGACTTAGAATTTTTTCAAGTGCTGCTTCCTTGTGTAGCCTTCGGGTGATAGGTGCCTTCTGACTCTACATTGCTTTGCGAGATGCCCGGGGGCTGCTCATTCAGGACTTAGAATTTTTTCTAAGCATAAATTGATGTTGAATCCTGTTGTTGTGAAGAAAGCCAATGAGGAGTGTGTGCCCTCGGCATACACTTTAAAAGATGTAGAATTTGACCCTTGTCATGGGGAAAAGGCCCTCGGTACTAGTGCGTCATAGATGCCTTCGGTATATGTTTGAAGGTACCGTCTTAGTGTACTTTGGATAGTCCAGTCCCTTTGTATTGTTGAAGCCTTCGGTGTTTGTGTGACCGGAGGTGACCAGGCAGTGGACTTAGCCGTTTCTTGATGCTATTTGTTCGAGTAGTATCCTTCGGGAAATAGGAGCCTTCAGTTACCGGAGGTGTTCCCGTGGGGAGCCCTCGGCTTGTTGTGATCTGTTGGAGTGTACTCTTTGATTTCTCGCTGAGTCTACTCCCCTTCACCCCCCCTTTTTTTTTGGTTGGTGGTGAAGGGAAGGCATCAAGAAACTTGGTTTCTTGGTAAGGCTGGGCCTATTAGGAGACCATCAGAATACACCAATGGCTCTCCTCCCTCGGGTTAACCTTCCGAGGGGATCGAGTGTCGTTTCCTGGGCACAAGATATGGTGGTCCGTAACCTGCCTCCCCTTGGGGGATGGCGCGGAAAGCGCCTCATTTTTGAAAGTCGTCCCCTCGGCGCCAGACATAGTCCGTGGCCTGCCACACCCTTGGGGTGGTGGCGCGGGGAGCGTTTCGGTTTGGAAGTCGAATCCTGGGCATTTCTCGTGCCTGTCACACCCTTGGGGTGATGACGCGGATAGCGTTCCGTTTTTGAAAGTCGAATCCTGGGCATTTCTCATGCCTGTCATACCCTGGGGGTAATGACGCGGAAAGCGTTTCAAGGAAGGGTTTTCATTTGCACACTAGTTGCAAATGGCCGGGGGCACTACGTGCCGCCGGCACCGATGGTGGCGCCTTCGGTATATGCGTCCTCGTGGGGTACGGCTTTTAGAAACAACACTTGGTGTTAGTTTCGATGTGTAGCCCCCGGTACTTGGTACCGAGGGGTCTTCTGTAGGAACACTTGGTGTTCTCTTTTGTTGTAGTTGATGTAGGCGTCTACCCTCGGTGCTTGGTACCGAAGGGTCTTCAAATGAAACACTTGGTGTTTCCCAACAGATGTTTGGAAGTTGATAGGAGAGCATATCCCTGGCACTGGGTGCCGAGGGGTCTTCTTTGAAACATTTGGTGTTTTTTCTTCGTTTCGATGTTTGATGATGGAGGTGTACCCTCGGCACTGGGTGCCGAAGGGTCTTCTGTAGGAACACTTGGTGTTCTCATCTTTTCTTTTTTGATGTTGAAGGTGGGGATGTACCCTCGGCACTGGGTGCCGAAGGGAAATGAAACACATGGCGTTCCTTGTTGTTGGTGATAGGAGTTCCCTCCCTCGGTACTTGGTACCGAGGGGTCTTGACTGAAAACACGTGGTGTTTTCACTGTTTGTTGTAGGTGTTGATGGTATCCGCCCTCGGCACTTGGCGCCGGAGGGGGTTCTTCTCGTGGTGAGGCCGGGGGCCTGTAGTTAGTATGAGGGCTTGATGTCTTGAATGTATCTTCATTCTTCGAAATTGGAGGCCTTGGGCCATGGGATAGTACATTCACTAGTTATGAGGGCTTGGCCGCTCTTACATTATTGATAAAATTTTACTAAATGGTGTACATTTCAGTGCCTAGGGACTTCTTTCCCATTGGGGCGTTTGAGCTTGTAGGTCCCAGGTTTGATGATGGCTGCTATGATGTAGGGGCCTTCGAATTTTGGTGCCATTTTTCCTCCCTCGGTTGGTTGGCTGGCTTCCCTCCTCCGGAGGACATAGTCCCCCACTTGAAATTCTCGGGTGCGAACTTTGGCGTCGATGTAGCTTTTAACTTGCCTTCGGTAGTTTTCTGCCCGGATGAAGGCCTGCTCCCGGCGTTCTGAAATGAGGTGGAGGTCGAGGGCCATGTTGCTGTCGTTGACCTCGGGGTCATATTGGATCACCCTTAGGGTGGGAAGGGTGACTTCCGTAGGAGCTTTGGCTTCAAAACCGTAGCAGAGGGAGAAGGGTGTTTCACCTGTTGCTCGCCGAGGGGTGGTGCGATAGGCCCAAAGGATGTTGTGGAGTTCTTCAACCCAGCCACCGCCCTCAGCCTCTAGCTTCTTTTTGAGGCCCTCGAGCAAGGTCCGGTTGGCATTCTCTACTTGCCCGTTGCCTTGAGGGTAGGCAACGGAGGAGAAGGTGTGTTTGATGCCCCATGCCTCCAGAAGGGCACAGAAGGGGGCTGCCTCAAATTGTGTCCCATTGTCGGAGATGATCTGCTGGGGGACGCCAAACCTTGTGAGGATGTTCTTGAGGACGAAGTGACGGCACTTCGCCTCTGTGATGCTGGCGAGGGGTTCAGCCTCCACCCACTTGGTAAAGTAGTCGACGGCCACAATGATGTATCTGTTGTTGGAGGTACCCCTCGGCAGAGGGCCCACAAGGTCTATCCCCCATCGAGAAAAGGGGACATAGGTGCTGATGGGGGCATAGTTGACCGCTGGCCTGCCGGGAGCTTTCTGGAAATGTTGACATGCGGTGCACCTCCGGGCAAGGTCAGCACAGTCCCTGGCCATGGTTGGCCAGAAGTAGCCCTGGAGAATGAGCCTTCGAGACATGGAGAAGGGTCCCTGGTGAGCTGAGCAAGTGCCACTGTGCACTTCCTCCATTGCGACCTCGGCTTCATCTGGATGAAGGCACCGAAGTAGCGTGCCATTGTAAGATCGTTTGTAGAGCCTTCCATCTTCGATGGTGTAGCTAGGAGCCCTCAGCTTTGCCAGTTTAGCGCGGGCCTCATTCTCGGGTAGCTGCCCTGTGGAGATGAAGGCGGTGATATCTGAGATCCAATCCTCTTGACGTTGTTGTATGTTCATAACGGGGCTTGCATGGATGCTTGAGAGGCTGAGTTCCTCGATTTTGGCAATTTTGGAGATGTGCTCGGGGGAGTCGGCCGAGAGCTTAGATAATATGTCGGCCTCGGAGTTCTGAGCCCTCGGTATTTGAGTGAGAGAGTGTGCCTCAAATACCTTAAGCAACTCCTTGGCCGCTTCCTTGTACTGTTTCATTCTCCCCTCCTTGGCCTCATATTCTTCGGAGATTTGGCCAACGACCAACTTGGAGTCGCATTTGATGTGGATCTGCCGAGCCCTCATGTTGGCATCCAGCCGAAGGCCACATAGGAGGGCCTCATTTTCGGCCTCGTTGTTGGAGACCTTGAAGGAGAAGCGGATTGCATAGTAGGCCCTGAAGCCCTCGGGAGTAATGAGGACTACCCCTCCCCCGCATGCTTTGGTCGCGGAGGAGCCGTCAGTGTAGAGGGTCCACCAATCATCCGAGGCATCTGAGGGCTCCCCGTCCGTGGCTGCTCTTGCGGTACATTCCGTCACAAAGTCCGCCAGGGCTTGGCCCTTGATGGCAGGCCTTGGACGGATGTCAATGTTGTACTGGCTCAAGAAGATAGCCCATTTCACCATGCGGGAGGAGCTGGTGGGGCTCCTCATGAGGGCGCCGAGGGGTTGATGGGTGAGGACCTGAATCGGGTGAGCCTGAAAGTAGTGGCCCAACTTCTTGACGGTCCAAACGATGGCCAACACCGTTTTTTCCACAGGGGAGTACCTGAGCTCGGCCTCCCTTAGGATCTTGCTAACGTAGAAGATGGCATGTTGGATGTCGTCTTCCTCCCGGATGAGCACAGAGCTGATGGCCGCCGGGCTGACCCCAAGGTAGAGATAGAGGGTCTCCCCTACCTTTGGTTTTGAGAGCACAGGGGGTGAAGATAGATACCGCTTGAGTTCGTCGAAAGCCCCCTGGCATTCCGGAGTCCATAGAAAGCCAGCCGTCTTCCTCATGATTTGGAAGAAGGGTAGAGATTTCTCCGCTGATTTAGATAGAAAGCGGTTGAGGACTGCCAGGCGGCCCGTCAACCGTTGAACTTCCTTCACGTTGCGTGGGGGCTCCATGTTGATGATGGCCTGGATCTTCTCGGGATTGGCCTCAATACCCCTTCGGCTCACCATGTAGCCCAAGAACTTGCCCCCTTGGACGCCGAAGGTGCATTTCTTCGGGTTTAGCCGAAGGTTGAACTTTTGCATGATGGCGAAGATTTCCCGGAGGTCGTCAGCATGGCTGGAAGATTGTTTGCTCTTGACGATCATGTCGTCGACATAGGCCTCCATGGTGCGCCCTAGGACGGCTTGAAAGACCCGTGCCACCATCCGGGTGTAAGTGGCCCCTGAGTTCTTT